ACTTGTCGATGACATTCCGCAGCTCCTGGTCTGGGGCCCGAGCAGGAGAGAATGGATCAGAGAAAAGGCGGGGGAGACGTAGGGTCGCGGGGGGCCCGCCCGAGTCCGAACCCCCCACCCGACACCCCCGGCGGTGGGGAAAATGACGCTGGCCCAGAGGGGAAACTGAGGCGGTAAGAGGGGGCGGGGCTCACACGGGAAACGGGGACGCTGGGGGCGGGGCTCCGGGAAGAGACGGGACCCAGGAGGTTGTACGCTAGGCAGGAATGGGGACAGGAAGCCGACGCTGGGGCCCCCGGAGCATGGGCCCAGACTCACCGTCAGGCGGCAGCGGCAGCTCCATGGCTCCGGAGCCGCAGAACGTCCTCGGGAAGCTCACGATTCCTCCCCGCGCTAGAGACAGAAGCCGGCCGGAAGTGTCGCACCGCACTTTTTGCGACTCACCGGGCCACTTCCGGTAGCGATTTATGGCCATCAGTCACTTCCGGTAACGATTTACGACCATCACCATGGGAAACCGGAAGTGCGTTCCCCCGAGAGGGCGGTGCTTAGTCTTTAAGGGCCGAGACGGCTGGCGGGAAAGGGTTTCAGCCTGTAGCTTCCCAGTGTCTGTTTTTTTGGTTTTTTTTTTTAAATCTCCAGGGCCAGAGACCCAGGTCCGAGTGCCATCCGGCTCCCCCGTGCTTCGCTACTTTACGTAACTGACTTCTCGTGGGCCCCAGAGCCCGCACTCTCTATCCGGAGCTGCGGCTCAACTCATTGGGCATTTACGAGGCGCCTGCTGTGTGCGAGGACCCCGAGGCAGCGTGAAAGTCTACGGGCAGGGCACGTGCGCAAACGCTAAACAAAGAAGTTGGGGGTCAGGGCAGAGGCGCACGGCCGGGATTCCGGGAGAGGATGCCCGGCGTGGGCCACCACTACGTGGAATGCGGCGGAGGGGCTCCGGGGATGTCTCCTGGGGGCCGGAGGGTGGCCTGCACGGGTACACTTGGGACAACATTACCGCAGGTCTAGGCGAGGGGGGGGCGGTCGGACTGACGGGATGGAGGTACCCGTGTCAACGCATCGGGGTCTTTGTCTTGCAGCGAGGGGGGGGCTTTTAGGAATTGAATCCATCACGCTGCTACAAAGGTTGTGGAGAAGCATCCGGACTGAGGATCAGGGAACCCTGACTGCCCCAGTTCATCGGGACGTCTTATCATCTGTTTGTGTCCTGGTGTGAAAAGGCAAAATTGACCTTACGTACCCTAATTCACAGGGGTGTCTCGAGGAACATATAAAATGTTATAAAAAATCTAAACGTGTACGAATTTCTGTGTTCACACCCACCCAGCCAGCCCCTTTTTCTTTCTTTTCTGAATTCCGTTCCTGCTTTACCACATCAAAAGCCCCAATCAGGCATCTCTGCTCGGAAATTCAATAGGTACCTCAAACTATGAATCCAAAACAAAGCTCAACTTTTATTTTTAAGGAATTCATTCCTAAACCCACCTCATCCTTTCAAAATTCCAAGGGAAGTATTGGGCATCACTATCCTCCCAGTTATCTCACCACCACCATAAACAATCAGTTACCAAGTATCCTTGATTCTAATTACCCAGCACATTTGTCCCTTTCAACTCAGCTTAGTGTAGACTCCCCATCACCTCTTATCCTAATTACAGTAACAATCTTCTAATGGTCTTCCCGGTTCTAGTTCCTTCCCCCTCTTCTGATACATCCTCTATACACTGCCAAATAATATTACTAAAGCACAGATCTAACAATGTCAATCACCTGCTGAAAAATCCTTGTTTGCCAAACTCCTCTGCGTAACACTGAAAGTTCCAACAATTCAACTCACCAACTGTCTTTATAAATTTATTTCCTATTAGTCACCTTCCTGTGTACATTATTGTAACCAAATGGCCACTTAGCTATTCCTTAACTTAAATCTTCTTACTGCACTACAGCATGTCCCTCCGTGTCCGTCCCCCCCCCACCCCCCCACACAGCCATCCTTCCTCATCAGTTTCTTAGAATCCCTGCTTCAAGGTTCCACACAGGATGTACCTCTTACATGGCGTCTTTACGGATCTTCCCATTTAGGTGGTCTCTCCTGCTTCAAACTTTTACTTAATCTGTGTATGCCTATAGCCCTACTAGAATAAATTGCCTGGAATCTCATTTTTGCCTTTGTATATCAAGCACCTTAAAGTGACCTGCATTGTAAATACTTAAGAATGTTGAATTTAAAGTTTTTAATCACAAATTTATATCTCAATATGAACTATTAAGATCATACATCAAATTAGTAGCAGAACAAGGACTTAAACCAACCCTTCAGGTTATAGGCCAGTACTCTTACTGACCATATTGCATTTGAAAAAGATTCCCTTGGCCAAGATTAGCTGACTGGAGCTCCAAACCCCACTTCTTCAAGACAGATCCTAAACAAACTCTTGATAACCTTGGTCAAACAAGCTTTCTTGGGGCAGCTAGATGGTGAAGTGGATAGGGCAACCCGCCCTGAAGTGAGGAGGGACCTGAGTTCAAATGTGACCTCAGACCTAACACCTGACACTCACTAGCTGTGTGACCCTGGGCAAGTCACTTAACCCCAATTACCTAAAAAACAAACAAAAAGCTTTCTCACTTGGAAGAAGGAGCTTCACTGGCTGACATCCAGAGGGCAAATGTCCTTGGGTTTCCTGGCGGTGTTTAAGAAAACAGCTAAAACAAAAACTGCCAAAAAATTCTGAACTTCTTATTATGTTTTATTATTGCCAAACTCCTTTGAATAATATGATATTCGTTGTTTTACTACACCCTGTTCTAATTCTACATAATTTTGAACTTGTGGGATCTTAGATCATTCTTCCTTTTCCTAAACCTTTTCTTATACAATCTGTCCAGAGTTGCTGGTTTGTTATAGAATACAAACCAGTATCTCAGTTCTTTCAGATTTTGCTAACACACAACTGTTTACGTGTATCCAAGGCTTTTATATCTACAAAGTGTTTTTCATCATTACCCTGTGAAGCAGAGGCCCGAATTATATTATTGGTGGAGCCAGGACTCAGAATTACAGGTCAAAGCTTGGAGCTTTGAGAGCTTGGATCATTCAATTCACACCATTCCTGAAGAGAAATTCACAGAAAAATAATCATCTAACTGGTCCACCAATGCTTCCTAAGGCAACCCATTCCATTTTTGAACAGCTCTAATTGTTCAGAACTGTCCTGAGCCAGTATCTCTACATAATTTCTATCTACTAGTTAAGCCTTCTGGAAATGACTAGAACAAATCAAGTCTCTTCAAACACCTGAGGCCAGCTATTATGCCACCACCGCATCTAACCCAGACCACAGGTTCATAAAACAGCTGAAAGGCACTTCAAAGACTCTCTAGCCCAGCCCTCATTGTCTGGATAAGGAAACCCAAAGACTATCCAGGAAAGTGGAGACTGCAGCCTGTGGTCATGCAATGATCTCTTCCCCTATGCCATGCTGCATTCAGAGCAAGTCCGCTTTCCACCACACCCTGGGGCTTCCTTAAAGGGAAGGGGAAAGCTCCTTTCGAAAAGGGGAAGCTGAGGTGTAGTGAACACTCAGTGGCTTTAGAGGAACAAGATTCAAACCCCAATCTCTGTCTTCAGGTAAGTCATAGCTTTCCTGAGCTTGTTTCATGTACAAAATGAAAACAAGAATCCTTACAAGGCTAGAAAGCTGATGAAAGTACTTCATGAAATGTGTTTTTACTGCAAAAACGTAATGCAAAGTGGGACAGGTTAAAAAAGTAATCTCCCCACTAGAACCTCCTAGAGACAAAGCAGTTTACAAAGCAGTAACATGAAGATGAAGGCCTCCCCAAATAAAAGAAAAATTGCATGCATACTCACTCATGTTTTTCAGCATATTAAAACTGAATGTTACTAATAAGGTAGGTTCAAATTCGGGCAAAGGATGAATTAACTCTTTGGCTTCATTCAGTTCAGTGTCCCTGTCTACACAATGGAATCCTAGTAATGCCAATGGAAACAATTTGCCATGAAAAGATCATTGTGCTGAGGATTCCAAAGAGCTGGTGTTGTGAGATCAGTTACTTCCCTTTAATGAGACTGTGTCCTCATGTGGAATAGAGGAAAGTGCCTAGCCTATTTCAGAAGATGGTTCTGAATACCAAATGAGAAAATGTGAGTGTTTTGTATGTGTAAAGTTATATAAAGAAGACATATCTCTATTATGGAAAATAAGTCCCCAGGGTCATGATGCCACTTAGCTGTCAGAAGACCTAAGATTCAACACCACTGTTCCCCAATTGGGAAGTGAATGTGCCAAGGAGTTTCCCACAAAACCTTAAAGCAATATCTAGGGTGAAAAGCTACTTGATGCCAAACTGGTTTTCGTTATTTCAAAACCCTCCCCAAACATAATCCCTAATACTCTGAACTCTGCGTAGAGTCCTACAAGAAAACCATTCATTTTGTCCAATCTGGCTGGTGTTTCTGAGTGCAGAGGCACATCTTGCAACAAGATCATTTCAAATAGCACTGCCAGGAGGAGCTCATCCTGGAGGCTGAACGAATGCACACTGTTCTTTTTTCCTTGTGGAGGTTTCTTTATTTTGTGGTAAATGCCACTGGTGAACATACACAACATGGAAAAATTCACTTTCACACACAATCTGGAAGCATTTTGGTCTGGAAAACAGGTTCAACATAATTGAAACAGGCCTGCAAATTTTCAAGTATTTATAAATAATGTTTGTCTCTAAGAAGGTTATAATTGTCCTATGTCTTGTTATTTTCCAGGGCAAATAAATGTGTTCTTTTATGACTGTGTCAAAGATACATAACAAAATGAGGACAGGTTAGAAAAGCTGTAGAGGCTTAACTACCTACAGTAACAGGAGTTTCCCCTCCCTTATTGAAAATTACATAGACAGTAAATTATCTTAAACTATCAGAGAGCCTCAACACAACTAATGCTCTACTTAAAAGGTATGTACTCTGAGCAACATTACAATGGTAAAGATTTATTTTCTTTCCTTTGAGGACGAGGAACATTTTGTTTGACTGTCCCCGTAGGGTCTTTTCATTCCAGTGTACGTACCTGCTACATACAAGTTGATGCACAGAGCTAGAGACCACTCATTAATTTACACATGGTATTTAACAACTGTTTCACCTCACCTACATAAGATCCTGCATTGAAAAATTAAGTTAATACAAACTGCAATAATATCAGAAACTTCCTTTTACCTGAATTTTTTTGGAGTTGGATTACGGTGTTCAAGAAATCAAATGGCAAAAGCCAGAAACACTACTTTGCTGTCTTAACTAGAATGTGCAAAAATGTCTCAGTATTGCTCAAATGCCGCTAAAAAGAAAAGAAAAATCCATGTTTAGGATCTAACCCCCCATCATAAAGAAATTTGGGAAGTGCTTTTCTGTATCTCTCCCAAGTCATGCCTTGTGATTTTAGGTACTAACTGTACTCAAGCTTAGAAGCAGAAAGCTGAGCCACACACACACACACACACACACACACAAAGTTGCTTTAAAATCTGTGGCATATAAAAGTCTAGCCCGGATAGGGGGATTGTAAGCAGTGACAGGACCTTACAAAGCTGATCATTTATTTCTTTTGACTGATTTTATTTAATGTACTAGCGTACTTACTATAAAAAAGTAGTAACTTAAAAAAACGGATTCAAATGTTGGTTACAATACTGGCTCATTTTCATGCAAAACACTTAAGAAGCTGAGTTATTTCATTAGTCTAACAGAAGCAAGAAGGAAAAAGTCAATGAGCCAACAGCTGACACAATGTGTATCTCCCTCCAAGGGAGACGACCTCATTTTTTCCCATGTTTGAGCAGAAAAGGTAGTGGAACTTAGTATGTACCAAAAAAGAGGATTAAAAGATGAACAGGCCAAATGCTGCCCTGGTCTCTATGAAATACCTCAATATGTAGAGGAAGGAAGGCCATCAGTATATTAGGTAAATCCTTTATGAAAGGACAGGGTCAGAAGGGCACAGGACAGGAAGGTCTAGATGGGTTATCATCTATAGCAGGGGGGTCAAACTCAAGGACAAACATGGCAACTAATCCCTACAAAAGGATCCCTGTGCACCATATATTGACATAGTTTCAAAATGTACTATTATCTGTCTTATTTTATTTTTATTTATTTTGTTAAGTATTTCCCAATTATATTTTAATCTGGATCAGGTGCACTCGGGAGTGTTGTCGGCTGCAAGGACCTGCGGGTTGCATGTTTGACACCTCCAATCTACAGTAGTGCATGTCAATAAGATCAATGAGGATCCACTGAGGTATCCAACCAGTATTTCACAAGCAAGCCAGCACTTAAGATCCCAAGGTTTGAGTTAAGAGTTCATCGCCTGGAGGAGAGCTGCTTTAGAAGGCCAGTGGCATGGGACAGGATTAACACTGACCTCATGGACTAATCATGTTCTATCAGGCTTTTGCAAAATGCAATAATTATTAGGAAGCTCAAAAGAACAGAACAGAACATACTTATACCTATAGTAGCACTAAATCCATGGAAGAGCCAGTTGCTTTAAATTGGTGCTCTACTGTTGTTTTCATTACTCAGAACCTAAGGGGTAACATCTTAATTCTGGTCAAAATGTTTTGTTCATTTGTGTGCTTAAAAAAAAAAGCTCAACTAATAGCCTTTTCATCCTACTCGGGAAACATGATTCTGAACAATGTAATTTAAAAACATATTCAACACAACTCGACCATTTCTATTAGGAAATAACAAAACACACTTGCGGAGTATCCTTGATTCCTTTCTATTTTTCCCTGATTATAGTACTCAGACACAAAACTGCAAAGTGACTCGTTCCTACTGTATACAGAGGAGTATTAGGCAAACATTTGCTACTATCAATAGATCATTGTTTTGAAACACTAGAAAGCAAAGGTCTTTAGATTCAAGAGGGAGTCAGAGGGCCCAGTATACAGACACACACATTTACAAAATCATCTGTAGAAAGTGCAAAATCCTTCCTATAAAAACAAAGCTTCATTTGGCAGTATCTGTCTGCCCAATTCAACCTCAGAGAATGAGAGGGTATAAGTCCTGGGGAAAGAGCTGTTTAAAGCACCGATGATTATTTCCTTATGTGCCTTTTGTTAATCAGGGAATATCTGCAATGATACTCCCCTTGCTGCTGATACCACTTGATGCATCAAGGAGAGAAAAATATTCTGCTCTCTCCTGCAATGGAAGAGGAGATGAACTTCCTTCTATGGATGTGAGCCAGTGCAACTTCAGAATTTCAGGTCAAACAATTAAGGCTGAATACACCCAGCAACAGAAACAAATGATGCATGCCCAGAATGCAAACAGGATGGAAAGACCAGTCTACTTATTTACAGTTTTGGTTTTTTTTACATTTGCTGAGGATCACAAATGGATTGTCACAATGTCTTGGGAAACTACTTGGCTTTTCCTTATATTTGAAGTACTACTCACAGTCATTAATAAAATTCTTTTAGCACTGACCCTTCTTTGACTAAATAAAAAATCTCTCCTTTTTGACAATCTATAGAAACCATTACAATGGGGTCACAAATTCCTACCAACCAAGCCCTTTACCACACACATTATAGTTGTGACCCAGACACGTTCAAGTAGTGCAATGCAAACTTTGGTTTCCAGAAACTCAGGCACAATCCTTGTCCATGATACCACACATAGCTGAATGCTAACCCATGAAGAGTCTACCTAGAAATTTTAATTTTTCAAAAAGGATCTCAAGTAACTTCATTCAGAAAGCAAAGATGTTAACTTAGAAACACATGGCTTCAGAAAATTAAACACAGGAAAGTAATACTAGCCATAATTTTCCTATCAACACAATCCTCTGGTGTCAAACTCCAAGACAACATAGGCAGCAAAGATCTCCCCTCCTGGAGTCTGAAAGTTTACCTTTCATCAGAACCCCAAACTTTTGCACTGCAGGTATACTCCCTACTCCGGGATCCCTATGGAAGGTGCTCCATGCATAAGAATGTGTTTAGTGGAAGATCACACTTGTATCATTGACAATCATACACCTTCCCATCTGCAGGAGAAGTACATTCTGATTCTGAATTCACTGGTGTGTCAGAAGTTTGTGATACTGCTTGGGGGAAAAAATAATCTCTTCACAGTCTCTACCTGTCTTCTAAATTCTATACATCATAATGATTTAAACTGTATGTGTTTGGATAGTTTTGCCTGTTGTACTGAAAGTGATCTGTGAAGATGCTGGTTCGACCATAGTGATAGTCCCCATGCTGAGGGAAAATAATTCCATTCTGAGATTTCTCTGGTGTGTTTCGATGGTGATCAGGATTTCCAAGGTCTCCAGCTACCACGGGCAGAAGATGCTTCTTGGCCTCTTGATTTGCATCATACTTGGTCTGGACAGTAAAAAAGTTAGATGAAACATTCAGCATTTTTTTACATACTGCCTGCTTATTGCCAAATCCAAAAGCTTGGTTATCCAGAGATTCAAGCAAATTAGTATTTTTAGAGAGAAGTGGATAGTGGAACAATTTATGAATGTTAAGAAGCCCAGGACAAACTCTTGTTTTCAATAAACAGCTACCAGTCTAACTTTCTTTTCCCGGCTATTAAAATTCCCAATTATTGGTCAAACACATAATGAACAACGTGTTTATTTCTGAGCACATGTGAGGAAGGACCTTGGTGGAATTTAGGACAGAAAGAGAGGAGGGGGACTATGATGTATAAGGCTTAATTAAGGAAATGAGAATGTTTAGTCCAAAAAAGAGACTTGGGCGCATGATCACTGTTTTTAAGTATTTCAGAGGTTCCTTTCTAAGATGGAACTAGGAACTGAGCCTGAGAGGAAGACTTAGGGTCAAGTCCAGCCTATAATTCATCTTAGCTACGTGACCTCAGGCAAGTTCCTTAACTTAAGTGCCCCCAGGCAAGTCTCTAAGGTACCAGCTGCCTCTCTGTAATGGCAGAGGAAGCTTCCTCAGTGTGCTTTCTCTATACCAACAAAGTCCCACGTACAGAATTCTCTTCTGCCCCTCAAAAAAGAGAGTTTATTATGGATGGCTCCAGGGACCAAACTACAACAAAAGGATTACATGTAGAGAGGCAGACATGGGTCCAATATAAGGAAGTACTTCCTAAAAAAGACAGTTGCCAGAAAACTGAATGGGCCCTCTTGTTGGGTACTAAGTTTTCTGTCACTGGAGATGTTAAAACAGAAGCTGGATAATGACTTACCGAGTGAATCATACTTTGGGTAAGTACTGAAATAGAAAGGCTCTAAAGGCTTTTTAAATTCTAAAATTCTTGTGTTCTACGAATGCTGAAGGTAGAAACAATCTGGCCGTTTTTTCCAAAGCAGAGAGAGGGCTGCAGAACAAGAGGGCTACACCCATCTCAAACAAATTAAACACAGCTGCTCAAGAAAAAAGAATGAATTTTCAATTTCTGATGCTTGAATTCTCCAACCAAGGGCCTATTAAAGAAGTGTTTGCAACCCCAGACCCTTAAACTTATTTTTCATAGGCACTAAAAGACAATTACTGAACGTTGACATTAATGGGTGACTAAACTGAGCTGGATTTACAACACAGACACTTACCTTATTATACAAGAAGACCCCTAAGATAGCTGTCATCATGCCCAGAACATTAGTGCTGGTGACTGGGTTACGTAGCATTATGAGGGATACTGTGATAACCATGATCCTTTTTGTAGCATTTGCAACAGAATAACTCAATGGGCTGATCAAATTAAGAATGCTAAAAGCAATGACGTTCTGCGCAAAGTTACAAAATCCGCTGACTATTAGCAGCATTAAAGTCCAGGGCCACTGGGAAATCGAATTCTACAGAAAGGGAAATAAAAAACCCACAACATTGTGTTACTTCAAAATCACAAGACTGATCCACAGTGGAAAAACAAAATTGTTATAGTGTTAGAGCAAGTGCTATAACATCTGCAAGCACTGACAACTTACATGGATAGAGAACTATCTTGTGATTAAGTAGTATAAATACTATTATCCCATCTCACAAATGATGAAAATGAGATTTAGAGGAAAAGATAACTTGTGCAAGGTTAGATGGCAGACATCACACTGGAACCCAAGTGTTCTTCTAAGGTACTTGTCCCCCTGTATAGAACATTAATTATCTGAACATCAGAGCAGACGGAGACTGGGTCCTAGCAGCTAAGTCAAAGGAGACTTTGAGGGGCAGATGTCCTATGAGATCCCTTCTCAACACCTATTCCAAATAAAGCTGGATCCAATATTCTTCTAACTTAGGTCATGGAGGGGAAATGACTGGATGGATGATGGCAGAAGAGTCACTGTATTGTTACAGCAGAACCACTTGAAGTGATTCACATCCTCCACGAGGATAATTACAAACGTCTGGTAATGGATCCTCTTCTTACTGTCTTCATGACCAGAATCTCAGCATTGGAAAGGAATTCACAGGCAATACCTACCAAGAATCCTTTCTTTAACAACGCTGAAAAGTCGCCATCCAGGTTTCTCAAAAGGCAGCTTATTTCACTTACATAGAAGTTGAATTGATAAGAAAATTTTTCTTTTTCTTCTGTTCTTCTTTTAAAATTATGTCTTAAACCTTTATTGGATTATTTATAACAAGGACCTACACTACAAATCTTAGAAATGAAGGACACAGTGCTACCCAGTTCAAGACAGAATGGGCAGGTGTGAATGGATCTCTGGTTTCAAGAGTTTTCAAACAAGAAGAAACAAAAATCTAAGGAAGCAAAGATGATCAGATGTAAAGAGGGTGACCAAAGGACCAGGGCTGGGGTATTATAGGCAGAGTTAGTTGTTGAGGCTTCTGGTGCCTTCTGATCATCATTCTACCTTTCACCCTAACCCCAGGCTTTCGTCCTCAATTTCCTGCTCTCAGGGCTTCCGCTGACCATTTATGATTTCTGCCTAGATTTGGGATTATAGTGGGATGGAGAAGAAAGAAGCCTGGCTACTCGCTAGATTAGATGAAGATCTGCACCTTGTCTTTAGTTTAAAATTTTAGGGGATTGCTTCAGCAAGTTTTTCAAAGTTTAATTTTCTTTGCTGCAACTTTCAGGGTTATAATGTCCCCTTAAGTCTGCTCTTCTTCAGGCTATCCTAGATTTCATCTTTTAAAAGACTTATCACTTACTCCTACATGTAGCACTCCTTGTCAAAGTCTTTGCTCAAATGAGGCACCCCAAACTCAATGGTAACATTTATATACTGCCTTAAGGTTTGCAAAGTGCTTTACATAAATTATCTCATTTGATCTTTAAAACAAACCTGCACTACATGTTATTATCTCCATTTTTAGAGATGAGAAAATTGAGGTTCAGAGAGGTTATGTGATATGCCCAGGGTAACACAGCCAGTAAATGCTTGACACAAGTGAAACTCAATTCTTCTCTCCACACAGCCTCCCAAATCAACACAGTAGGATCACAGCGTAAGAATTAGACAGGACCCTTGCTATCACTTAAGTCTAATTCTCCCATTTAAAAAATAAGGAAACAAGGCCAAGAGATGTCAAATTATCTACCCAACACACGGTCACAAAGCTAGTTACTGGCAAATGTGAGACAAAAACTGGGGTCTCCTCATTCCAAGTCCAGTATACTTTCTACTATACCAGGTTGGCTTCAACTGAAGAAACCGCTCAAATGAGTCAGTGGTTCACCCTGACACAATTAAGTAAGATATTCCCTATAATGTCAACAATTCTGCAGACAGAATCACTTTCACATTAGCCTATTAATAGATCCATTAAAACTTTTTGTCTCCTTACAAAGAAGTGGCTAAGGTAATAAACAGTCAACCCTCCTCTATGAAGTACTCAATCACAAACAAAAGCCAAAAGGTAAAGAATTTAAAAACAAAACAAAGCCAGATAAGCAAGCCTAATATTATGTTCTCTGGACATGTATGTAGTATCTATTAACACACAGATTCTCTATCCTATTTCTTTATTTCAAAAATGACCTTTCTGTTTGTGGGTGCCTATAAAAGTTGATATTCGAGTCTTAATTATCCACAAATAATCCTCAAATAGTCACTGAATACTTGGTATGTGTAGGGTACTGTGCTAGCACTGAGTGTAGAGATGACTAGGAAAATTTTAAACCACTGAAAAACTACCATTTGTATTTGGCTTTAGAATGCACTTTTGAATTTACAGGTCAGTATGGGTATATTTAATGTTCTGGGAACTCACTTTAAACCAGAGAAAGGTTGTACAGCATAGAGTCAGGAAGTTATGAGTTCAATTCATGCCTCTGATCCTTTCTAGCTATATGACCATGACTATATTATTAAACCTGAACCTCATTTTCCTCACCAGTAAAATGTAGATTAGCATTTGCAAAACCTAAGTCAAAGGACTGTTTTTGTTTTGAGGCTTAAGACAATGAGAGAGAACATTTTGCAAACTTTAAAGCACTTTAAAGCATCAGTTGTTGTGGTTGGTATTAATATTACACCAATTAATGAAAAGTCATGATGAAGATGTGATTAAAAAATAGCTAGCAGCAGCCTCACTTTCCCTGTTTCTCATGAAAGCATCATGGCATATCTGAATAGGAAGCTTGGAGATCAGGGTTCAAACATGGGTTCTGCTACTAACTCTCTGGGAAATACTGAACATATAATTTTATCATCTGTGAAATGAGATGAAAATGGCATTCAAAGTCCCTATGATCCTGATATTCTATGGCTATATAGCAAGTAAACTCTCTATAAATGCACCTGATAAAAATGTTTTTGAATCATAGGTATGACTAGCTAGAAAGAAAGGTACAGAGGGAAAAAGGAAGAAAACAGAAAATCACAAGGTTTAGAAGAGGAAACTGAGAGAAATGATAAAAAAAAAAGCTGACAAAAAAGAGACAAAAGAAGAATGAAAAGAAACTCAGTAGCTCAACTTGGTGTCCGCTTTAATTCAGAAGTCTTTCCCAACTATGCCCAAAGGGCTATAATACTGTGCATACACTTTGATCCAGCAATAGCACTACAAGGCCTGTATCCCAGAGAGTAAAAAAAAGGGGAAAGGACCTGTTTGTACAAAAATATTTATAGCAGCTTTTTTGGGGGATGTCCATCAATTGGGGAATGGCTGAACAAACTGGGGTATGTAACCGTAATGAAATACTACTGTGCTGCACAAAATGACGACGATGATTATTTCAGAAAAACCTGGATTCACATGAACTGATATAAAGTGAGATGAGCAGAACCAGAAGAACATCGGATACAGTGACAGTAATGTTGTATAATGATCTACTCTGAATGACTTAGTTATCCTCAGCAATATAATGATCTAAGACAATTCCAAAAGACTTATGATGAAAAATGCTCTCCACCTCTACAGGATAAAACGGATGGAGTCTGAATGCAGATGGAAGCATACTATTTTTCACTTTATTTTTTGTGGGGTTTTTTGTCTGTTTCCTTTCACAACATTACTAACATGGAAAGATGTTTTGCATGATTGCATATCTATAATCTATATCAAAATGTTTATTGTCTCAAGGAGGGGGGAGAGACTGAAGGAAGGGAAGAGAATTTAGAACTCAAAATTGAAAAATTGTTAAAAATTGTATATGTAATCGGGGAAAAAAATATTCATAAAGACAAAAAAAAGTCTTTCCTGGTAGCTGTGTCTGAAAATGGTAAGAGAACCGCCAACCTTCCATTACTTTTCTCACTGGAAGAGTAAATAGAGATAATGATGATGATGATGTCAACAAAAGAAAACACAAAATAACACAAACAAATTGAATAAGAAACGGAAATATAATGGGGCAGTTAGGTGGTGAAGTGGATAGGGCACTGGCTGTGAAGTCAGGAGGACATGAGTTCAAATCCGGCCTGAGACCAAACACTTGCTGTGTGACCCTGGGCAAGCCACTTAACCCCACTGCCTAGCTGCCCCTCTCCCCCCCCCAAAAAAAGAAAAATTGAAATATAGATTTCTCAGGACAAGGGTAGACTCCCAGGAAGGCTTGCCAATACTATGTGGAGCTACAGGGTCATTCCCTTCTTGGCTTCTTCTACTGAATGAAAAACAGTATTATCAGTAGGGGCAAGCAAACATACAGCATGAGGAAGAACAGAAGCTGATTTCCTTCTCAACTGTGCAGAAATACTCAGCATAATAAAGAGCTCTTTGTTAGGAGAACAACTTATCAGATGCCAGAAACTCTATAAAGTTCAACAAAAAGTGATAACTCCAAAAACACAGAATCTACTTTGGAACTAGTAAGGAAAATAGATTCTTTGTTTTGGCCAACTTACCAGGTCATTCTCTACTAGGAAAGAAGAAAGGTCAACCAAAACCCATGTTGGGATCATAAAAAAGACAGCATGACATCCAAGTATGTTCAACAACCGAAGATGATGGATCCTTGAATCTCTCAGCACCTGAAAATACAAAACTCTTTAAGTAGCTGACCAATCTTTCCCAAAGTAAAAATTTTTTAATTCACAGAATGAGAGTTGAGTGGGAGGGAACCTCAGAACTACTCTAACATGTCCCTGAATTCTCTTTATTGTATACCCAAGTAGTAACCCAAACTTCACTAGCAGAATGCAAGGAATGGGGGACCCACTGTCTACCACCAGCAACTGTAGCCACCCCTTCCATCTCTGGGCAGCTCTAACCATGAGTAAGTTTTCCTTTACATCAACTGCTTCTCTATGACTTTCTACTTCTGCTGTCAGTTCTGCCAAGATGAACAAATCCAATTCATGACAGCCCTTCAAATACTTAAAAGAGCAGTTACCATATACCTCCTAAGGTCTGTTCTTCTCCATATTAAACATGACCAGTTCCTTCAACTAGTCCTCCTCTGGTATGATATTCAGCGCCCTTACCAATCTGGTTGTACTAAAATTTGTCAATGTTATTTTTCAGATGAGGTCTTTAGACCTGAACACAACACCCCAGAAAGGGTCTGATTTGGGAAAATAAAAGCAGGTTTGTTATCTCCCTCATTATGAACTTTTAAGTGTTTTAATGAAGCCCCAGATTGAATTAGCTTTTTTAGCTGCCATATCACATTATCATCTCATGCTTGAAGTACTAGGTTGTGCTAGAATTCAGTTTAGATAAAGTAAACTACCTTCATGGATTTTACAGTCTAATAAGAGATAACACATATGTACTTTTACAGTATTTTCAAGTTTGTAAAGAACTTTACATACATGGACAAACAGCTCAATGAGGTGAAGTACCCCGGCTAGTAATAACTCTATTTTATAGATGAGAAGAATGAGGCTCAGAGTTAAAGAGATTTGCCTACAGTCACAAAGCTGGCAAGCATCTGAGGCAGGATTGTTTAAAAAAAGGCCTTCCCAATTCTATTTCTAACACCCTGGGGCCATCTCCAGTAGTCCTGATCTACATCTGGCCACTAGACCCAGATGACCCTGGAGAGAGTGAGGCTGGTAACCCTGCACAGCCCTCCCTCACTTAAATACAATTCAATTGTGTGTCATGGCATCATCTTCCTGGTATCATGGACCCCTTCAAGAACAAAAGACAAACAACAACCTGTGAGTGGTCTGAGCTGCCCCACTGGGGACCCAAATGGTCAGTTCCAGCTGGCCAACTCCTCTCCTCGCCTTCTCTTGTGTCATGCTCTAACCTGAAGGTGCTCTGCCCAAAGGAAGGTAAATTTTGAAGACTGAAACCTACCTAGGTATCTTGGGGTTTGCTGGCTAGATTTCTTTCTTAAAGACCATGCCTTAAACCCAGATTCACTTTGGCTCTCATTGACTGGCCAACCACAGGTCTCTATCCCAACAACACTTAATGGTTATTGTTTGGGCCCTGATGGGTCAGAGTGAATGTAAATAGCACTTGTTTCTCTTATGACCAGAAACCCGGAGGGTCTTCCCCTCCCAGTTTGGTTTTTTTGGATTAAAGAGGTCATCCCAAGGCTCACTTCTTAAACAGCCCAAATCACTGAATAGGCAGTTGCCTCAGTCAAAGTGAGAACCTGGAGAGACCTTAGCTTAAAAAGACTAAAGGTTTCCCACTTCATCCTGGGCCATCTCCAGTTGTCCTGATCTATATTTGGCCACTGGCCCCAAACAGATCTGGAGGAGAAAGTGAGGCTGGTAACTTTCCACAGCGCTCCCTAAGTTAAAACAAATTCACTTGCAAGTCATAGCATCTTTTTCATGATGTCACGGTCCTCTTTGTGAATGAAGGACAAACCACACAATCTAACACCCTATGATATCTCTCTAATAAAACTATTAAGACATATACAAAGTATTATGGGATGTCAAAATAAAGAGGCATTTAATGTTTTCTGAATAATTCCATATGCAAGTATGATACCTTAGGAAATTAACAGCAACACAGGTATTCTTTTTTTTTTGCTTTTCGGTGAGGCAACTGGGGTTGAGTGACTTGCCCAGGGTCACACAGCCTGTGTCCAGTGTCTGAGGCCACATTTGAACTCAGGTCCTCCTGACTCCAGGACTGGTGTTCTATCCACTTTGCCACCTAGCTGCCCCTAATATAGGTATTCTTAACCTGGGGTAAGTGAACTTGGTTTTCTGTTATGTTTAATTTTTTATATTCTGATAATTGTATGACAATATAATTGGTTTCCTATGTATTTTATTTCACACATTTAAAAACACGATTCTGAGAAAGTGTCCAAAGGCTCTGACCAATTGCCAAAGGAGTCCATCCATCCGTGACACAAAAAAAGTGTAAGAATGCCTGCTTCATAGCATTTGAGAGGTCAGAACACACTTGCCTCACAACTCTGTGAAGCAGACAGTGAATATATAATTATTATCTCTGTTTTCAAAGATGAGGACAGGAAAGTTCATACTTAAACAGCCTTATTCAGGGTCACACAACACTGTCAAAGTGTCAAAGCTGCCATGCAGCTCAGTTCTCAGCTGATAAGTTTAGTATTCTTTCCACTTTAAAATACTGCCTCTTTGCATTAACCCAGCTTAACTTGCTACATTAACAGATAACAGACTTTTGGCAAAGGATAAAACACCTGTTTTGAAGACTGTAATGTTTGTAGGAGGAGGGGCCATATTTTCTTCTTATTCTTGTTATTATTTTGGTATTTCCTCCAATACCCAGTATCTCGGTATTAAGCATGTCTGCTGAATTTAAAGGTTTATCATTTTGAATATTATCAACAATATTAAGTAATAGAAACTTACATTAATAGAGCACTTTACAATTTAGAAGACACTTTCCAAAATACTATTTCCTTTGATCCTAACAACAGCCACAGATTGTAGGTTATGCAACAATCATAACTTTTTTATAAGGTAGAAAGCTGAGGTTTAGAGGTACACTAATTCACCCAGGAACATAGAGGCAAAATGAGGCAAACCATCATCTCTTTTTACCTATACTGCCCAGTGCCCTTTCTACCACAACCAGCTATGTTAAAAAACAAACAAACATCTCAAATCACTAAGACCTTTCCCATCCTTGGGAAATCCATCACACTGCCAGTGACTGAATGAATACCTTTTTGGAGAATATGTTCTGAAGGGAAAAGCAGAGGGTCGCTGCCAGAGCACTGATGAGCCCCCACATATCAAAGGATAACTCAGTGACTGTGGCCAACAAGACACCGCTGATGATGGGGATCAAGGATAAATATACCTAAAAGAGGAAGAATGAAGAAGGCGCTTTAGTAGCCATGCTGTTATGCACAGGATAAATCTAACTACCACTGACCTGTGACCAACAGAGTATATACTCCAAAGGAAATTCTTCCCATACTGTCCTCCCCACCTCCCCACTTCACTTTTAGCTAAAAGTAACCAAGAGCAAGACAGAGCCAGAGGAAAACATGAATGAGTCAATCTTGTTAAGTCTAATGCTCCAGGATTTTAAAGTCCCTTCTCAGAAAAGGTTGTTTTTCTTAAAAGGAATTGATGAACTCTCACATCTCTCAGTAACTAATTTAGATATCGCACTCCATTCTTGTCATACAATAATTATGAAAACAATTCAAGAATGCCTATCTATAATGATAATAATAACTAACATATTCATTAAGTGCCTACTATATGCCAGGAACTTTACAAATATTACCTCATTTGATCCCCACAATAACCCTATGAGCTAGATGCTATTTTTAATCTCCATTTTACAGATGTGGGAAACTGAGGCAAAAGGTAGTTAAGTGAGTTGCCCAGGGCAACACAGATAAGTTTTTCACGAAGCTAGATTTGAACGTGAGGTCTTCCTGATTACAGGCCCAGAGCTCTATCCACTGCACCATCTAGGTACCCAAAAGCTGCCTCTCTCTAGTAAGTACAGCAGTTCTCTGACAACCACGTGGAGAATCCTCTTAAACTTCCACAGAAATAGGGCTTTTCTGTCACACTGGGAGCTTTGGAACATCTCCTAGGACGGTAGATTCCTGGTGGATGAGGCTGTTGATGTTTTACATACTAGACATTTAGCCCTCTTTACTTAGAAGCAGAGGCCCTGAGTTCTTCAGTAGAATCTGTAGACTCTCTCAAGAAGAGCTGTTCCACTCTCCTTTCTGCGCAAGGAAGTTTAATCTCCCTCACTCATCTAGGCACAAGGCCCCATGCAATGTTAGATTATAATGTACAGTGAAGAACATTAAGCTAGAAATACAGGGACCCAAGGCTCAACTCCATCATGAACTAGCTGTGTGACCCTGGTCCTCAGTTTCTTCCTCTGTAAACTAAATCAATTAAACCAGATTTCCTTTAACTCTCAGTGGAATGAGCCACCTCAGAGGAGATAGTGGGCTAACCCCATAAAGGCAGGTCTTCCTCCAAAGGCTAGACGACCTCTGACGATCTGATTTTGTGACCTCTAAGGTCCCTCACAACACCAGCAATCTGTTAATCTATGCAATACTGAGTGACGTGGCTTTATGGCTAAAAGAATCAGTCAATCAATCAATCAAGATTTATTAAGTTACTACTGCTACCACTGTGTGCTAGACACAGTAGATTATAAGAAAAGGCAAAAGACAGCCCTCAAAGAGGAGTATGATGAAATAAATTCTTACATACAGACTGCAGTTTTAAGTGCGTAAAGATTTATAAGAAATCAGCCAAAGGTGCCCTAGTTTTCTTTGAAATGGGCTAGGATCTAGAGCACTGCCCGACAGTGAGCTACATAAAACACACGTTACAAACCACTGTTTTCTCAAAACCTTTGAATCTGTCAATCCCACCACTATAAATTCTCAGTTTCCAGCTAAGGATGCTGCAGACACCAAGACTGCATCTACATGGGATAGTACTTCAGTCTTTTAAATATTACAGTTCACAAGGCCAGAAAAACTTATTTGTTCAGTCATGTACTCTTGGGGTTATTGGTTAGTGGAAATGCTATCTTCAGGGGGACTCAAGATACTCAAAAGACAATAATCGAGGCTCTGTTTCAACTTCTAAAGAGTTTCTGGATTTTACCCAAAGGAGAAATTTGGGCTTCCAGCAGACTAGGAACTTATTCCTGGTTCCTTGAAATTACCTGTTTGTTTTTCTCATCTATGTAACCAATCAGAGACTTGCAGGGAGGGGAAGGGAGTATGTAGGAAGGTTTGGTGCCAAGTTCCAGCAGTGCAGCTCCTACTCAGAAACTGAGAAGACAGAGCTGGAAGGGTACTGGGAGACCATCTTGTCTGTCAAATGACCCTCCTTCCACAAAAGGAAACAGACTCAGAGTGGGGAAGTTCCTTTCAAAACATCACGCCACAAACTTAGTGGGGAATCTCCACAGCCACTCGCTCTAGCCTAGTGCTGTTTGGGCTGTCCCATGCTGCCATGTCTAAGTGCCCAGTAATTGTCCATTTTACCTTGGTGCTCTGCTTCTCCTTCATGATGATCCGGGACAGCAGCACCACCCAGATTGGCATGGTTGCCTTCACTACAATGGAAGGAGTTTGGAGGATGGGGGATGAGGTGAGCTTAGGTATTTTAACAGATAGACAGTTGATGTGTTAGAAGGACCCTTGAGCTAGCGCCTTTTTCCACATACCCTTTGGGGTCTCTTCCATCAGACTTCCCCACTGTTCAACCACCTACACCTGTCTTCTCTGCCTTACAGTTCCCTAATTGAAGTCCCAATCAGTCTCTCCTATGCCCCAAGTCAGCTCAGTCCATCACAATTGCTTGCAACCCATTTCCTGCTTTCTTGACTCTTAGGCCCCCTCCCTATATTTCTACCTTCTAAGTTCCTCAAACCTCCCAGACCCCATCTGCTGAGTGGATTAGTCACTCTCCCCATCCTGCCCCAAAGAACAGGGCATTCCAGAGCCCCTTGCATTCCAGAGCCCCTTCTGAATCCTGCTCTAGACTTTAAGGTCCCAGTCCCTCAGTTCAGCTTCCTGTTCTCAGCTCCCCACTAGGGCCAAAGAAACCCCTTTCCATTCAATTCAATCATTTGGGAAATAGCCACTACCTGGTCTAGAACCAAGGCTACAATAACAAAAATGGAACTGTCCCTGCCCTCACTGTTTACAGCCTGACATTCTACTTCACTGCTCAGCCTCCCTGTTTCATCTCCCCATCACCTCCCAAACCCTCCAATCTCCTCATCTACTCTCCACCCTCCCCTTCCTTATTAGCAAGCTCCTCCCCCGGGTCTCTGCTGCTTTCCTCTCCAGGCCCCCCAGTTTCTGGGTCTCTGGGAGATTCTCCCCACCCCTCTTAACTCTTTAGTCTCCAGATCCCCTCTGGCCTCGCTCAGCTCTCGGTCTGCCCCTCATTTTGCGCCCCCCCCCAATTCGCTCGGCCCCCGGGCATCCCTTTAGCTCCCCAGTCTTCGGGATACCCAGCCCCTCCAGATCCCCGGGCGTCCCGCTGGCCTCCCGTGCGTCTCCTCGGCCCGGGGCCTTTCCTCGCTCGACCTTCGGTCTTCGGTCTTCTTGCAGGCCCCTCTGGCTCTGAGCCCCTCCCCCTAGCCCTACTACAATCCCCGGGCTCCGAGTCCCCCTGGGTTCTGGCTCCCCCGGGGTCCCCCTCGGCCCTCACCGGTGTGCGCGTAAGATACGGGCACCTTCCAGATGCTGAAATGAGCCGACACGGAGGCGAAGTACTTGCCGAAGGCGAGCGGGAGCACGTAGCGCGGGTAGAAGCGGGGCGGTAGCGGGTCGGCGCCCGCGGCCGCGCCGGGGCCGGAGCCGGGCCCCGGGCCGCGAGCGGGCGGGATGCGCCAGGCCCGCAGCAGCGGCGGGAGCCCCGCGCACAGCGCCAGGATGTGGCACAGCGACACGGTCACGGGAAAGGGGAAGCCGCTCAGGATGATCTTGTTCACCACGTTCCCGCCCGCGCTCAGAGCGTACCAGAGCAGGCACAGCGCCGCCACCCGCGCGCCCTCCCGCGCCCCGGCACCCCGCGCGCCGCTAACCGACCCGCCGCCTGCCGCCGAGGCCGCCACCGCGGCCCCAGGCGCCGCCGCCGCCATCCTGCAGCTCCGGGCCGGGCTCGGGACCCCGCGCGGCGGCCGGAGCGGGGCGGGGCCGGGCCGGGGACGCGCGCTGGGCCAGCCCCGCCCCGCCCCTCCCCTCCCGTCGTCGCCGCAGCCCCATAGGCCGGAGGCGATATACGTCATCGCCTCCCGCACCGACCGACTGACGTAGAGGAGACGACGTGGGCCACCTCCGGGAGGGGAGCTGTCGTCCACGTCACTTCCGGCCGCGTCGGAAGCGGAGTTTGGAAGTGGTGAGGCATCCGTTTTCTTCCTGCTGTGGTGATGTTACCCCCCCCTTCCTAGTTCGGGGAAGCGTGCGTTCGGATTGTTTCGGGGCGACTGTGCCCCGAGAAGGGAACGGGGTACGCGCGCGAGAGACGTCCAGGAGGGAGGGCCTCTCTGGCTGTTCGTGAGCGGAGGACAAGAGCGTGGGAGCCTGCCGAGGGTCAGGGCAGTCCGTCCGATGTGGCACCGGCGCTGACGCTGAGCCCCCATGTGACTTTGGACAGACTCTTTAACTTTGTTGTCAATAATAATAATAATAGTAACAACTATCCTTTCTATAACGCCTCCTGTGTGCCAGGCACAGTTATCTTATTTGATCTTTACAACAACCCTGCAAGGTAGGTGCTGTTATTATCCCCATTTTACAGTTAAGGAAACTAAAGCACAGTTGAAATGACATGTCCAGCATCAGGGATAGTATCTGAGGCTGAATTTGAACTCAAGTCTTCCTGAATCCAGGTTCCTCCCTCATTCTATCCACTGTGCCTCCTAGTTTGTCGCATGCAAGAGACTGACCCAAGGTCACAAATCACTTTGGTCAGAACCAAGTTTCCTGACGAATCTAGAATGGGATTTACGGAGGTCAGTCTTAGTGACCTTCCCTCCCCAGACAGGTTAAATTTCCTTCTTCAGGGTTTCACAGGTGACAGTAGCTGAGTGCTGAATTTTGTACTCAAAGTGGTTCTGATTCCAAATCCAGTATTCTTACCATTCTCTTGATGTTTTTTTTTTTCTCCTAAAGCGAAGAGTCAGTAGACCTAGGCTCACTTTGACTTCCGTGACGGGACATAATCTTTTTTAGGAGGGGCCTATTCTGTCTAGTACTGGAGCCCCAAAGTTGAAAGGCAAGCAGTCTCTGCCTTCCAGGAATGCAGTAAGGAGAAGCCACATGTAGATGGAAAATAGAAAATAGATAATTTGAAGGGGAAAATATTGGGGAGGGGGAGGAATCAGGAAGGGGTTTATGTAGGAAGAGTGAGGCTGATGACTTTGTGCAACTCTGCCTCACGTAAATCCAATTTATGAGCAAGCCGTCACTCAGTGATGCCATTGGTCCTCTTGGAAAAGGAAGGACAAACAACTGGTAGTAAGGAGCTCTAGGAACGTATTAAATAGGGAAGTGATGTGGCCAGACCTGTGCTTCAGGAAAAGCACTTTGGCATTTGAGGATAGTTTGGAATAATTAGGCTACTGCAGTGGTCCAGGCAAGAAGTGATGAGGGCATGAACGAAGGCTGCGAGTGCAAAGAAATGGGACCCATCCAAGAACTGCTGATTTTACTCCAGGTGAGGGGAGGATGACACTGAAGTTGCCAACCTGGATGACTACAGTGTAAATAAAGGAGAGCTGCGTCTGAATCCTGGTTTTGCTCCTTCACTAATTTCTTTCATTCTGGAATTGTCTTCTCCTACCTGTATTGGGAGATTGTTAGAATAGGCTAGGTTCCATTCAATAAACATTTAGTGCCTACTAACTTCAGGGCACTAGATTTCTAAAGGCCTTCCTAATTCCACATCGTGTCGGACAGGTGACTTAATCTCTTCCCTCAGTTTATTCATCTGTAAAATGAGGCTTTTATTTGCACTACCTATAGTGTTCAGCACTATCGAGAGGAAACTGCTAAATGGACAGTAAGCTTATTAAAGGGAGGTTCTCCATCCCCAACTCACTCCCATCTTATCACAGAAACGAAACAGGGACCTTGCATTTTTTTGCAGAGGGCAAAAACTGAGGCAAATGAAGTGAAGAAACCCACCCCCTGACACAAAGGGAACTAGTGGCAGAGCCCCACTCCAGCGTAGTTCTCCTGATTTATGTTACTGAGCATAGCTCCTGTGCCACTTTTGCTGTTCTCCCTCCCCAACTGTCTTAGAGGAAGAGCATAGCTTTCATTGCTGTCACAGAGAGATGTTTGGGATGTGGACCGTTAAGAGGTTGTGTAAGCCAGGATCCCCTCTGAGGAGCCAACAAGTATGTGGCTAAGAGTTAGAAATAGTGCCCAATATTACCAACAGGTAGTCAGGGCTCTTCACAACAGGATCTAGTGAGGCTACCTCTACTGGATAGTTTAAGCTAAAATATTACAAGATATTCCTTGGGCAAAAGGATCGTAGATTGTAAAAAAACAAAAGGAGTTTCTTCCAGAGATGCAATTTCTGTTCTTTGGATTTATAGTGCTGAAGTGTGAAAAGATGTTCATTTAAATTCATGCCAAAAAAGCAGTTTTGTCTAAAAGTTTTAATCCTGGCTCAGCTAACTTACCTTTTAATCTTGGCCAAGTCATCTGAACTTCTTTTTGAGCCTGTTTTCTCATCTGCAAAATGAAGGGTTTGGACCAACTAATTTCTAAATTCCTTCCAGCTTCAACATTCAGTGGTCCGTGGCCTCTTCCAGATCAAGTACAGATAGGAAGACCCAAGTTAAAATTTTATGTGACCTTAGGAAAGTCACTTAACTTCTCTCAGACTCATTTTCTTATTGGTAAAAAGGGAGCAACAGCACCTACCTAACCAAGTTGAAAACCAAACGACAAAAAGTATTCAAAACACTTTTTTGTAAATTCCAAAGTGCTGTGTAAATGTGACCTAATACTGAAATTTTCTATTAGGTATTTTTTCAGATTGACCCTGGTTTGCTCTCTGGTTTCTTTTTATTTGTGTAGGCAATGGGGTTAAGTGACTTGCCCAGGGTCACACAGCTAGTAAGTGTTGTGTCTGAGGTCAAATTTGAACTCAAGTCCTCCTGAATCCAGGGCTGGTGCTGTATGCACTAGGCCACCTAGCTGCCCCCCATGTGCTTTGCCTGCAGAGAGCTTATTTTCTTTTAATATTTTTTTTTTTGCTCCTTTTCTTCCTAGATTGTCCTTCACTTCTATAGATGTGCATTCCTAGTCTTTAGTTCTCCTGGTTCTGCCAAAATCTAGCTGCCACCAAGATTTTACACATCGGTCTTAAAGTGTTGCTGTATAATCTTTATTATTTACAAAGCTTTTTCCTTATGCATAGCTTCTAATTTAGATGAAGAGATTGAGGCTCAGAGATTTGTCCAAGGTCACCTGTCTAGTTAGTGGTGCAGCCATGTCTCTGGAAGCCTGTGTGCCCCTCCCTTCCTACACCCCCAAATTTCTCTGACAAATGATATGGCCAGAATAAGAGAGGAAACTGGGCTTCTTTAAAACTCTGGGAAATAAGTGAGCAAGAGCAATAGATACTGAGACATTGCATAGGCAAAGAGCCAGTTGGCAGTAATGCTGGTGGCCCTTTCCTAGGGAAAGCATTTTATGTTTTATCTCATATTTCTCTCTCCCTTAGTGATACTGGGTGCCATCCATATATCAGAGAAATATTTTTTTCAGAAATAATGATTGACTTGTAAGAGGAACATTTTCCTTCTCTTATTTTCCATCTCTGCCAGTTTTCTGATTTCTTTTTTTCCCATTTATTCTGCCTATTAATCCTTTGGTTTCTCCTTCCCCATCATTTTGCTCTTTTCCCACATTCTAATCAGCTGCAAAATCTTGTCATTTCTATCTCCACAATAGACCTGGCCCACCTCTTACCCTTCTTGATGGTCACCGTCATTACTAGTTCTTCTCCCCTGGACCCTTGCAAAATTGTCCCGTCCCAACCTTGCTTCAATCTCTCCAGACTCTAATCCACCATCCCTATAACTATAGCTCCTCCACTGAAGAAGAAACCACAACAACAAACAAAAACCAGTGAAAACTCTTCTGTTTGGCTTTTAAATTCTTTCACAACCACCTAGCTTCAGCTGGTCTTGTCAGCCTCATCATTGTCCTTCCCACATTCTGTGGTACAGTCAAACTGGCCTCTGTTCCTTACAGCACTCCAGCACCCAACACCCAGCCCTTGTACTGGCTGTAGTACAAGCCTGGAAAAAGGCCCCCCTCCAAACCCCTGCCTTACTGTAGAACCCCTCATTTCCTTGGCTCAAACACCGCCTCCCACAAGTTTTCCAGACACCTCAGTTGCTTGTATCCTCTTTCCCTCCACTGTATTTATTTATTCTCTATGTATTTATGTGTATCTGAAGAACAGAAAATGTTTCACTTTTGGTCTCTGTAGCCCTAGCACCTAGCAGTACCTGATAGATGGTAGATGCCTAATAAATGTTTATTGATTGATTTCTCCCATTTCACTTTTCCTCAAATCTCTAATCCTGGGGTGGGGGGTTGGGGGGTGGGTGGGGAGTAGTTGCAAGAGAAGCTGTTGGAATTGGTTGAGAATAGATGAGTGAGGGTGCCTGAAGTGAATCAGAGGTGGCACATCAGAACAAAGAGCATGTTAGTGAGTATTGAGCATTAATAACTGGATCAACCCCAGTTGACTAAACTGGTTAATATCCATGCTGTGCTTGGCTTATCAATAATCATTTCAAAAATTAAAACTGTATTTTCCTGAAATTATTTCTGTTTATATCTCCTCTGGAATTTGAAGTAGAGGAACAGTTTTCCAAAAGAAAGTTAACTGGATTCCATCTAAGAAAATGCTTTTTTTTCCTGACAAGCTGGTGCAGTTGGTTCTCCTTGAATAATGTGCTCCCAAGATGCTTGTAGTGGCCTTCATATAGCATTCCTAAGCAGAACCTGAAGCTTCTAGGTTGCTGAAATTCTGCATAAATAAGTCCAGATACAAGTTTCACTTAGCTTTGTTGGACTGGTCTTGACAGTATATATGAAATGCTCATCTTTATGAGCAGCCATATACTTAAAAATTCATCCTTCCTTTCTACTTGAAATAGGTTCTTACTGCCTCAGGTGAGGAAGAGACTGGGAAACAGAAGGGATGATTATGGAATACAACAGCAACCCCCAGGAGCAAAAGACCATCCCATAGATAACAGCTGGGGGGAAAGAACACCAAAAACCAGTTATCATTAATCATTCGCAAACTTTTTTGTGCAAATTTTTTTTTATTTCCACATTTATATCACAATGTGTCCACTT